ATATATATATACATATATATATATATACATATATATATGTATATATATATATTTATTTATATATTTATATATATGTATATATATATATATATATATATATATATATATATATATACATACATATATATATATATATATATATATACATATATATATATATATATATACATACATATATATATATATATACATATATATATATATATATATATATCAAAGTTTTCCAAATTTCAGATGAAGCAACCATGTACTGATCCCCAATCAACTAAAACAACGTATTAAAACCAGCAACTCTTTCAAAGTAGAAAGCTAAAGTTATCTATATAATGATATATATATATCCCATACTCCACAATAATTATCTACAATCGCTTTGCACTGGAAAGCGAAAGCAATACAAGTGCATTTTTTATAATATAGCTAAAGGCTTTCACCACGGTAACCCTTAAAACAACTACTACGACTGTATAGTACTTTCAGCTGCTCATCTTGATTTATTTCCCAGGATCCATGGTGAAGGCAAGTAGTCCAGTGTCAACTGAAGATTTCTGTCGCAGAAGTTTCGATGGTTTGTCATCCACCAAGAAAGGAACTATGTATTTTTTTATGTCATCCTCAGAGATTCTAAGATGGTTCCCCTGGACACTGATGAATTTGACTCGTCCAGCATCATCCAGAGCTTTTAGACCGATCCAGTCTTCCGTGTATAGAATCGTCTGCAATTTCATTTCTTTGGTTAAAAGAAGCATTAAGCTTGAAGAAAGAAGACAAAACTAACAATCAAGATTGATTGATTTCTCTGTCTTTCCAGATAAGGCGACTGTGATCATGACTCACTCGTATTAAATATTTGTGACAGGAGAATACACAATATAAATAAATAAATAAATAAATAAAAAAGAAACTCGTAGGGCAATTAACAATTCATTGTGATGGTCATCATAGTCCTTCACAACAAAATGTGGTCACAGCATATTATTATTCAAGGAACAACACTAACATTTTCATTCATTTACCAGTAGCTCTTGAAAATAACAGTAAAATTTACAAGTGCGAAGGTCAACCTGATACCAACCTGACAGACTCGACACACTCAAAGATGACTGACATAAATATCTGAGCTCATGGAACGTTGAGACTAAAAATTTGAGTGTGTCAGTGGGTTGCATTCTTCAGCGTGTGTGAGTGTGAGGCCTTCTTTGATATCTCATCTGACAAATTCTTGGAAGATGTAGTAACTCATTCGACAAATTCTTACAAGGTGTTTGATAACCTATACAGTAAAGAATTTTAGACTGTCGAATGTTTTATCTCAAACTTCCTGATCTATCTATCTAAACCAATCAACTAAATTCAACATCTTATACTCAAGGTTTCAAATATTGGTCTGACTGGTATGTAACGACCAATATTTATCCGACCAAAGACCAACTATGGTTTGGTACATTTCAGATTATTTATTTGTTTTTTTAATAATACCACACCGACATTTCAATCTTGCTTGCACTTACCATTTAAATTCAGGACATTAGGACAAATTGAGCAATGACATCCTGCACTAGGCTTTTGAAGCTATGCTATTCAGAATGTCCACAATCAGCAGTCCTTTCTACAACGGATGGACTGATTTAAAGGCAATTATTTCAATGTTTTAATATTTTAACACAAACGAAAACTGAAAATAGGAGTAATTTTTATAATGCAGCTTTGTGTGTAGTCTTTAACAACATTTAAAATAGCAAACCTAATCAACCAACTTACTGTCATCATGATTTCCAACCAGTTATGTACCGTCACAATCGATTGTCATGATGTTCTCCCATGATATCCTCATCATCAAGGCATAACCCAATTATCATGTCAGTGATAATTGGGTGAATAAAATCTTTTTCTCATAACTGAATTACTCAACTGATATCTAGAAGATCAAACTGTGTGCGGACTAAAAAACTTTTTTTCATATCTAAATAATATATAAATATATTTTAAAAACATTAATACATCTCTTACAACAATGACAAATTAACAAATCCATTTTCACCTCCGATAGTCCTTTACTTCTAACTTTTGATACCACATTAGCTTCAAGTTTCATCTGTAGGTTTTTTTTTTTAAAGCACAAATGCCCATAGAGTTCATATGCAGAATCAATATTAACAAATGTAAAAGCCTATGCCATGCAAGAGTAGAGGATCAAGAAAAATGACAAACAGATTAACAAGAAATACTCACAACACTATCATATCTTGCTCCTATATTGGTATAACAAAGATCATATCGACCATGTATGATGCCTACTTATTCATGCATTTACTTCAATTATATTTTATATGTCATGGAGTAATACCATTTTAATAAGGGATATATCATGTTTAATACATATCACATAACAAGTTATGGATCAAATTCTTATTACATATCATACATCTTTCCTTATTTTTTTCCTTTTATCTTATTTTCATATCACATCATATTGAGTATATATTATGGAAAATCTCATAATTAAGTGATTTTCAATCCTATAATTAAGGGTTTCTATAATCCCGTAATTAAAAAAATCTATCTCCTATTTTGGATCACTCAATTTAACCATATCAGTCTATATTATAAGAAATAAATTTAAATGAAATATTATACAGAATCAATTTTCTTAGTTGTATAGTTTATTATCAGCCTATATATATCTTACTTTTTATACCAAAAAGAGGATAAATGAAAAAAATCATATTCTTTTATGTTTTTGGTATCAGGGCTTGGCTCCTATAGGAATTTATTTTCTTCTTTCTCTCAACCTTAATTGCTGTTATGTCACTTTTCAGATCAACCCCAACTATTTTCTCTTTATTGTTTGCTTGTGAGAAACTTACGCTACTATGTCTAAATGAGAACATGAAACCAATGCTTCCATGTCCAACAAACAACTTAGATGACAATCCATCCTTATTAATTACTATGCATAAACTCAATGGATAAAACTTTCTTTGTTTATGCAAACTCAATGGTCAAACTCAATCCATAAAATTATATATTCGAGGAAGAGCAAAGATCAACTATTTGACCAAATCAACAATTAAACTTGTAGAGGATGATCACAAGTTCGAAGCATGAAATTATGAAAATTTCATGATCATATCATGGTTGATAAACTCTATGAAACCCGAAATTGACCAAACATATATATATTTTTACCAATAGCAAAGGAGTTATGGGATGCTATGGTCGAGACATATTTAAAAATAAAAAAATTCAGCTTAAGTATTTGAGATTACAAATAAGATCAGAGAGCTTAAACAAGGTGATACTAGTCTTATAAAATACTTAAATACCTTGAAGACACTTTGGTAAGAGCTTGATTATTTTTTATGATTTTGAGTAGTCATGTGTTGCTAATAGTGCTTGATACATAAAAATGCTTGAGAGGGATCAAGCCTTTTAATTTTTGGTAGGTTTAAATAAAGAACTAGATGAAGTTCATGGATAGATATTGGGAATGATCCATTACCATCTCTCTAAGCTATATTCTCCAAAGTTATGAGAGAGAAAAATGGAAGACAAGTTAGGAAGGGATCTTCTACTCCATCTATCGTTGCAGAAAATTATACGCTTATTATGATAGCTAAAATTAATTCTTTTGTTAATGTTGTGCAATATAATCAAAGATAGGGAGTTGATAAAAATAAACCAAGACACACAAGAGAAACTTACTAGAAGATACATAGAAAACCAGAGCAATCGAGTTTCAGATAAGGCTAATACCCAAGGCTTTCAAGTAGGCCATCAATCTGCCACCACCACTAAAAGAGCTGAAACGCCTTTATTCAGTAAGGAACAAATTGAGCAATAGTTTAAAATTCTGATCCAGTCTCAAAATCCTAATCCTTCTCCTTCATCATCTTGCTCTTTGGTCAAGAAAGGTAATTGCTTCACAACTTTGTTTACTTCTTTTGATCTCAAGGCTCCTTGGTTCATAGATTTAAGCATAACAGACCATAACAGACCTTGGTTCATACTTGTTTTTCTCTTACACATCTTGTCCTTAAAACTCTAAAATAAAAGTTGCCAATGGATCACTTTCTTCTACATCAGGAAACCGGCAGAATTGTACTTTGCATTAAATTCTTTACTTCATGTTTCCAACTTATCTTGTAACTTATTGTCTATTATCAAACTCACAAAGGATTTGCATTGTATTGCAAATGTCACAATTGTATTGCTGAATTTGAGGACCTGTATTCAGGGAGGACAATTGATAGTGCTAAAGAGAGTGAAGGATTTTATTATCTTGAACAGATGCTACTTGAAATGGACAATCTTAGTTGACAATAACTAGTAACACTCTATACTAGTAGTGAAATAATATTGTGGTACTATAGCCTACACCAGCTAAGCTTTTCTTATTTGTAAAAGCATGTACCTTAATTATTCAGAAACAATAACAGTTCTCTATTTTAGTGTGAAATAAATCATTTTGCTAAACAACATCACACTGTTTCTCCTTCTCAACCATACAAAAAATCAAAACCATTTAATCTTACACAGTGACATTTGGAGAACTAAAGTGATAAATATGTTTAGAACCAAGTGATTTATAATATTTATAGATAATCATACAAGAGTATGTTGGGTACCTCTTAAAAGAAAAATCTAATTATTGAAAATCTTTCAAAAACTTGAGAATACTTTAATACTATGATCCAAAATCAATTCCAAGCAAAAATATAAAATTTGAGAACTAACAATTATAGAGAATACTTTAATACTATTTTCAATTCCTACTTGTTAGAGCATGGAATACTCTTATCAATTTTCATGTGTTGATAGCCCCTAAAAAAGTAGTATTACAAAACAAAAAAAATAGACACCTACTTGAAGTAGTATGCTCTTTTTTATTTACCACTTATATTAATAAATATCTTTAGGAAATGCCATTCTTACTACTTAATATTTGATTAACCGAATGCCTACTAGAATATTTAATTTTCAAATACCTCTTGATCGTTTATCCACCATTTATCCACATGTAAAACTATTTAACCCTCTTTCACCAAAGGTATTTGGGTTCATTGTATTTGTCTATATTCATAATTATCATTGAAGTAAAGTTGAACTTTGTGCATTTAAAGTGTGTTCAATGGCTACTCCATGGATCCTATATCGAAACAAATATTTATCACTATAGATATTACATTCTTTGAAAACAAAATATATTTTTAAAAAAACTCCTCTTCGAGGGGAGAATTCTACCTAGAAAGATTGCTTTTGGGAACTGTCTCTACCAATCTTTATTTTCTAGTCAAATTCATTAACTGCTTTCACTCTATCAAACTTATCTAGCCAACAACTAACTAGTTCTATTGATACTCCTAAACCCAAATCTTCGACACCATAACATGCTATTGAATAGTTTAGTTCAGGGGGAGATATCACTATAATTAAACATTAGCTTTGTGTTTATTCAAGACAGCAAACTTTAGAAAAAGGTCAATATTTACTCTCCTGAGTACAATCAAAAGTCTTAACCAATAACAGCTCCAAAGACAAGTAACCCTAATCCTTCCTTAGTTCTTGATATTCTTATTACCATTAGAAAATGAATTGAATCCTATATTTAAATGTGTTATATTATAAATTGTCTCTAGCTAAGAATACCCATTGAAACTCCTATAAGATTATACTATGATATTAAGGCTGCTATCAATATTACCCATAATTCAGTGCACCATGATTAAATAAAGCATGTCTAAGTAGATAGACATTTCATAAAGGAGAAAATTAAAGAATGAATTATTTGCATGTGTTGTAATCCTACAAAGAAGCAATTGATAAATATTCTTACCAAAGAGCTTCCAAAATTTTCTTATGAGGATCTAACTAGCAAGTTGGGATTGATTGACTTTTTTGAACTAGCTTGAGAGGGAGTGTGAAAAATCTCATGATTAAGAGATTTTGAATCCGATAATTAAGGGAATCTATCTCCTATTTGGGCCACTCAATTAGGACTAAATGAGCCTATATTATAGGAAATAGATTAGAATAAAATATTGTACAAAATTAATTTTCTTAGTTATATAGTTAGTAATCAGCCTATATATATATGTATATATATATATATATATATATATATATATATATATATAGTTCCTTTGGATACAAAAAAGATGATGAATGAGAAAAATTATATTCTCTTATGTTCATATCACATCATATTAAATATATATAGAATCTCTTATTCATGAAAGGAAATAAAAATGTAATCTCTTTTCTCCATGGATAACATCCTTATGGATTTAAACACCATCGCATGTATTGGTTAATAGATTTACTATCTAATGGCACATTTCTTATAGGATGCTAGCAAGTCACCACTGTTCACATAATATTCATAAAAATTAATTCATTTTAGTAAAAGTATTCTTTTTACTAAAATAAATTAATATTATAAAATTTTCTTTTTATTTCATATCATATCATTTTTACTATGTACTAGACCTACAGGAAGTAACCCCATCTTATAGATAACATCCTTGGTGGACTTAAATGCTTTCACACATATCGTGCCATGGGTTTAATATCTAAGGGCACATTTCTCATAAGATAACACATCACTTTTGTTCACTTAATATTCATAAAATAATCTATTTTAGTAAAAATATTTTTTAATCCTTTTACTAAGACTACTATTGGTTATAATTTATACTATCCCATCATCTCCACCTTGATGAATTTGAATACCATCCCTTCTTCAGTTTGGAGGTTTACTATCACTAGAATCTATAATGGTGTTTAAGCCTATGGTAAAATAATTATTAAGAGCCTAACTTGAAATTAAAATTTTATATAATAAGTACAAAATGCACAATCATAATTACCTCATATCAACACAACATACTTATACATTTTTAAGAAACACTAAAGCATGATTCTTGATTTTTTTTAACATGATAATAAATTAAATAATTAATTATTTAACTATCTAATAACTTAGATGATATAAATATTTATTATATCACATATCAAATAAAATAAAATTAATATTTTAAACACAAGATTCAATTTATTCAAATGACTCATCGGATATATACTTAACAAAAAATTAATATCAGGATGTCATATTTGTACATGGTATAAAATTAATAATTGATCACATTGGATGTCATAACAAATTAAATATGAATATTTATTACTTTATAGAACAAGATTAATATTTCAAGAATAATAAATTTTTATACAATGAAATATATATGCTCAAACATTATGCTTAAAATGACTAAGAGTTAAATATCGCTGGAGCCTATGTTTCTATTTCATTTAGACACTTTAATCATTACCCAAGAACCTGTGCAACTTATTCTAATTTAGTCCTTTATTTCCTGTTTCATCCAATTATATGTATTATAAATACTCTTTCAAATAAATCAAGTATTGCTTGCATGTCATTGGCAGACTCTTAGTTTAATTTATCAAAATCACCCTTTTAAACACCATTGAAGCCTAATTTTAGTATATGATTTTTTTTGTCTCTTAATAAGGATGTTCACATAAATTAAGGATTTTTTGAATATTTTTTGTCTCTTATCATAGGAGTTTTAAAGTTAGCTTGTTGTTGGACTCCTTATGGGTAGAAACTGTGTTAGCTCATCTGTCCAACATACACTAGACCGCATGGTTGGCTAACATTCAATGAACTAGGTCAATCAATGCTTTGGACCAATTCCCTGAATGTGCTGATGAGTATCTATTGATTGATATGTGTAGTTGTAAGTTAACGTGTTTTAGTTACTTGGTTTCAGATATATTAGGTTCATCGTAACTCAACTAATGTTTTTTGTTTCCCTATAACAACTTCACTGTGACTATTTTCACAAATAAGTCTATTATAGATTGCTTATTTTATTGAGTATTCTAACTAGGAACCTCCTACTCCATTCATTTAGCATATAATAACATGCAAAATGATTCCCTAAAAAATAGTTTATTGTCTAATGTCTCTAATTAATCTAAGTGAACTTTTAAAAAATTATATTACACTAGCTAAAATTGTCTAAATTATTTTTCGATGCAATATTATAGAAGTAAAATGTACCTTTGAATCCATTCATCAACCATTACCTTTCTTCCTGTTATTTGCTTATCCAGCTAACTTTACTTAATTTTATGTTTATGCTAAAAAGAAGTGCATCAAGATAACTGAATTCTTTAAGATCATGTATATATAGCTGAATTAATAAAAGATGGATATTTTATGAAATTAAATAACTGTTATCGTGAAATTCTAAAGCTAATTCATAGAAGGTCAAATTACAAAATCAATAAGCTCTTGAGGGTTACAATAATAACAAACATATATCGTAAATTTTAAAAGGAATCTGACAGTATCTAGATCCTTAAATTTGGATTCAAAATGGGAAAAGATATAATTTGATTTGTAAATCAGTCCTTAAAAACTCCAAGTAGATCCTCAAAATCTTACAGATTAGTCCCTGAATATTATGAATCAATCCTCGAATATTATAAATTTGTTCTTATGATAATACAAATCATTCTTGACATAATTTGGATAAATTTCCAACATTTAACAATTCTTTTGAATTAGATTGGCATTTAATTGATTTGAATAAGTTTAGTACTTAATATAAGTCTTTCAATTAAATAAATCAATTTGTGATGTCAAACTTACAAGGACTATGCTAACTTCCACATATGACTAGTAGAAACTAGGATAAAGAGTTGCCTCACCAGCTGTAGAAACTCTTAGACTAGTAATAAAAATTAATTCAAATATCTTATGTTCTAAAATCCAAAATAGATTTATTTTTAAGAAATAGATATGTTCATACATAATCTTAGTTTTACACCAATATCCACAATCAGCAGCAAAATCCAAGATAAACTTCTACATATGACTTATGTGTACATTAAATAATAATATCGATTCGTGGAATGTATTTATATCGATCATAGAAATATAAGCATCCACAAATTGAAGAAGAAAATTTTAAAAAGATTAATGTCAAGGAGATAGAAAGGAATAACAAAGTATTAAAGAGATGATCCCTATATCATAACATCTAAAGACATGGTCCCACCTTTGTCTATAATACCCTAACGTCATCTCTCTTCCTCCTTGAGAGTCATGCTCTCTATCACAGTTAGGGAGAAGCAATAGTGGCAATAAGTAAAAAGGAAGAGGTTAACCCTAATCCTAGGCTTCACTTATGAAATCAGATTACAATAGTAGCCCTAATTAAAAAAATTAGGGTTTTTCAAAATTCCAAATAGCAGACCTAATCAACCATTTTACTGTCTCCATGATTTTCAACCAGTTATGTGCCTTCACATTCGATTGTCATGTCTTACCCCGTAACATCATAGGGGCAGAACCAATCATCATAAGCATCAAAGTTCTGACAGGTCTAATGTCTTTTCAACATTTGAAGTAACCGATGCATGAAAGTTTTTCTAAAGGATAAAATGGACATCGGGTCCTTTTTCTGATTCTAAGTTTGTTGTTTGGCAGTTGGCACCAAGTTGAATAGCAAGAGAGAAAAGAATTGAACTGAATTCCAATGGGGGTTGCACCTCATTGGACTGAAATTAAAGGACACCAGCTGCTTACTATATTGTCTCAGCTAACGAGCAAATGAAAAGATGGACTTAGCAGTATTAGAGAGATGTGGGTGAGAGAGAGAGAGAGAAAAAAGGAGGGGAGACAAGAATATTACTTTTCATGAAAGATAAAGAATAAGCAGATAATAGAGCGACAGGATGTAAAGTCAAATAGATCTTTCTACTTTTCTTTTCTAATTTTCCTATCGTACAACTTTATAACTGTAGCTATATACCTTCAATTAGGCAAAATTCTACTCAAACAAGATACCTATAAGCATAAAAATAAATTGGTTAATTCGACTTAGAGCTCCTAGAAGAGTAAACACAACAAATGATGAAAGCTAAAAGAAAAATTCTCAAACACAGACTAAGATTCATCTAAGAGAATGCTTCTAGAATAACATAAGATATAGCAGTTCTTTATCTACTAGAGACTCATTGTGGAAAGGATCAGTTTTTAGTAAATACTCAATCCCAAGAAGGACAATTATAGTTTGCATGTCAAATGCAGTAACAGAAACATAGCCAATAGTTGTGTAAAATAATCAATTTGAAGAAACCATGACGAAGAACCAAATTATTGCAAGTGCGTTCACCATAGTGTTAGATATCTACTGTACATACTCTTATAGTAAAAATTTGTCCAGAGATCTGTCAGCAGCTTACCAAACAACATGGCAGATATTAAAAGATAAAACATAAAACATATACCTGCTGTGGAGGCAAAACAGCACTGAAGGCACCATCTGGATAATACCCAAACCAAGATGTCTCTGGGGGAATCAAAATTGTGTCATGTTCAAACTGCAAAGAAATTGAGGACAAGTGAGATTTACAGTACCATTTAGAGATCAATATGCAAAATAAAGAACAATTCCATTTAATTAGATATTCAGGAGCACCATATTGGATAGTCCTAACCAATGAGAAAATACACCGATCAAAATAGAAAGCGAACTGGACAACTGAAGATTTTCTAAACTCACCATTATCAGAACCAAATTCTGTAAGCTACTAAATCTTTCCTTGTATGTGGAATTCCGTTCGGTGGGCAGTTCATTGTTAAGCTTAGGAAGAAACTTGCATCCTTCCAAATACTCTTGGATATCCTTAAAAATGAAAGGCAATTAATTGATGGTTGCTATATGAGTACTATCAAGGCAAAACAAAGAACTTCACGACAGAGAAGTATAACTAGAATAAATTAGTGAATATCAAAAGCCACATGCGTTTGGGTTCAGTCTCAATCTACTTGTGCACCTTCATCTGATGGCAACTTCAAAAAGTTGTCACCGACAAAAAGTGAATTCTTATTGACAAAATAGATCTAAAAAATGGTTCCTTTAAGTTCCATGCTATATAGCTTGTATCAGGTATGACAAAATTCAGATTTTAGCAAATGACATGTTTAATATTCTAAGGCTACAAGGATATGAGGCCAATCTTGATGCCATGACAAGATTACTCCCTTGTGACCTGTCTAACTATAATTCAAAGTTCATCTTTTTTTCAGGATGCAGGACATAATCATCCTGTTTTTTGAAAATGGTATGCGGATGTGAGCAAAAATTATAAAGATAAATATATGAATATTTCTAGATACAGCCTAAAATAATTAATATATTTAAACACTTTGACCTTTATAGTTATTCTTTTATCTTTAGAAACAAACTTAACTATTTTTAAAATTATTTTAATGCTAAAAATTAACAAAATATTTAAAATATTTTACATAAAATATTCTCTTTTCATAGTGATGAAGATTATGTTTGAGCCCAGATGAGTCCAATTAGGGTAAGTTTGAGTATATAAGTTCCTTGAGTTCAAAATACTGTTCTAGTCTAAATTCAATTAAATTCTACCGGGTGTAGTTTGAGCCAAATTTTGTTTGTTCTGTCTCAGTAAGATTCAATTTTAGTCCATCTTGAAGTTGTACTAAGGGTCCTCTAACTGAAGGATTCTTAGTAGCAATATATAGTTTGGATGGGTGAGAAAATTAGATAACTTGTGTTAGAATCCAGGTTTTGATTAGCTGAAGCCCAATGTGTCATTTTGTTAAAAAGAATCCTACTGGGACTTAAAATCTCTGTTGCAAAAGGATGATAAAAGGCATTTAGAAGAGTACCAAATATTCAAGGTGCATCGTTTAGATTGTGACACTCTTTAGCAGTAGACTCTTGTGCAGGACTTACCCTGACAATGGAAGCTTCAGATCAGTGATGGTTTTCTCCTGATGATGCTCCAACCTTACGAAATTCTACCATTATGCATGTCCATATGGTTGAAATTCAACCACAATTGAGGCTTCCTTGCACCTACTTGCATTCCACTTGCTTAGCATCACAATTGAGGTTTTCTCCTGAGATGTGGGCTTCCATACTAGTAGTAAAATCAATTTCTCCCTCAGGAGATCAATAATATATAGGGGCAAGGATTAGAATACTGAATTCCATGCCAGTGTCAACTTGGCATTGGCAACAACTCATTCTATAGCATGCCCCTAGTGCCATATGAAGTAACATGTCAGGGCCCCTCAAAGTGATGTTAATTGCTAAAGGTTCTCCATGCATCAGCATTTCACAGTATCACTGATGCCATGATAAACATGATATAGAAGCTTGTATGGTACACACTCTGTAAGGGTAGATACTGTTTTTTTTCTCAAATTCATGCATGGAAGAGATCGTTTAGTATGGGTAACAATTCCAGTTTATAAAATGTATAATACATGGTAGACTTGCTACATTCAACATGACTCCTATTGATTAGAAGCAAAACAATGTCCATGTTCAGCAAATGTATAAGGCTTCAAAGTTGTCAAGTTTTGACGAAAAGATGAAAGGGCAATAGATTTATGAGAAGAAATTTAAACATCTTACAGAATTATAGGTTAGCAGTTTGGAAATCCCAACAAAGAGTTCAGATCAAAGCATGCTGTCATGGACAAACTTCGAAACAGGATGTTTGATGTAATGCTTATGTATGTTCGTGTCTTTTGGTATGTTCATACTTTGACTAGCATGTAGCGGGACAGCCGAAGGCTTAATAGTCCCATTTTAGTTGGGTTTAGTGACCGTTTTAGGCTTGTAAATAAAGGTTGTATCATGTGGACACTTGTGAGATATTTTCGATCTGTAGTGGACCATTTTACCCTTTGTTGTACATTTGTTCAGAGCTTGTAAAGTCTATTTGTAATTTGCATTGTCTATGAAGTGTTTTCGGAAATGTTTTCTTATGGATCCCGAATGAGGCGTTTTCTCTAACCCGTTTCTCTCTTTTGTGGGTCCTAAGGGATATGGGAGGCTTCGGGGAGGTTGACCTTTGCGGACGGACATACAAGGGTGCCGCACGACTTAGGCAAAACCAACTAAGTCCGTGACAGATGGTATCAGAGCGGGACAAGCACTCATAGAAACACGTAGCATGCAAATGTGGGGGACCTAGCTGGGTTATGTTAAGGGCAGTCAGCACACGTGTGACCGTTTGAGGGAAAACGAGCATGGAGATGTAGGGAAAATAAGTCGCTCGGAGGAGTGGGCATCTGAGATTGGCATTCAAAGGAATGGCCAACCTTTCGCCCAAGAGGCACCACGAGAATAGGCAAGCTTGGAAGAATGCAGAGTGCACAAAGATTGGGATGGTTGAGTTTGAGCTACGACTCAACATTGACAACTATACTTGATGGTGCTCAAGGCAAGTGAGGCGCTTGGTAAAAGATGAGACCATGCAAGGTGGAATGAGTTGCTTAGCGACCGAAAGAGTTGTACAAAGCTCACAAAGGTGAGGGGAGTTGCTAACTCAAAGAATTCGGTACTCATACATAGGCTTGTATGCGGACGATAGAATGTTCGCAGCCATCCCAAGGCGATCGAAACTCGGCACCATGGAGCATTGAAACTTTCTCTTCGGCATGTGAAGGATACGTCCGTAGGAGGTTGAAGTGTGCAACAAGTTCAGCATGTTGCTAGGCCTTGAGTGGTGCAGCGGGGGCTGTATTGACGTGGAGTCGCAATCTAGCAAGTTCGTTTGCAGGAGGCAGAACAATGTACAGTTTGTTCAGCAAATCGGAGTAGTCCAAGGAGATGGTGGTCTCCAAAACGAAGAGAGATGTTGCTCCAATGGGACAATTATCCAGGAGGGATAAGTCCCGGCTCTCCAGAGGGAGAGTCATGTGGGACGGACCTCATATGTTGAGGAGGAGTACCTCAACAAACAATAACTCCACGAAGCTCAATGGACCGAGCAAGCGGCGATGAGTCATCACATGATCTCGCTTGAGAGAATACATTAGTGGATGCATTGCGAGATTGACACGGGAGTGTCTAATTTACTACAATTTGATTATATGAGCCTTGATTATGATCTAGTATCTTTTTCAATCAATAATGATGCCTCATAATCTTTAT